TATTTAATAAAGTATAAGTATTTTAGACGAAATGAGATGGAAAAAGAATAATCAATCTGTTTCAAGTACATTGCATTATTCTCGTCTTTTTTTATTTTCATCATCTAATATGAACTTATTTTATAATTATAATATATATTTTATAATTAATTATTTATAATTAAGCGTTAATCGACATTTTTGTATATTCACTTTTGTATTTGTTTAATCTAAAATCCAAAAATATTTAACGAATATATATTAATATTCTGTATTTACATATATATTAGAGTGACTTTTATTTTTAACTTCGAATTTTTTTCTGTTTCTAATATAACTTTCTAAAATAGTTCCAATTAATAACAAAATCTGTGCTTGAATTTAATTAGATAACAGAAAAAAATGTTCCTGGATTTTTAAATGTTAAAATAATTAATTAAATGCTCAAAATTCTTTTGTTATTATTTTCTAAATTATTGATAATATAAAAAAATGTTTCAGATAAAATATGTAAATTTAATCAATTATATTTTATTATTTTCTTTATATTCTAAAAAACTTATTTATTATTTTTTTTTAGTATTCTTTAGTATTCTTTTCGATATTTATTCTATTATATTTATTCACGTTTTCTTTATGTTTTCCATTTTTTATAAATAATTGCTTATATATTTGTTATTTGTAATATATTTTTTATTAATTTATTTATTCTCTGCAATATCATTAATTATTCATAATTTATTTATTAATTCTAACTTTTTAATAAAATTTGTATTTTCAGATCAAATTAAAAAATCAATTTAAAAAAAAAATAATTAAATCTTACAAAAAATTCTTTTGTTCTAAATTTTTAAATTATTCAATCTCGTTTTCAAAAATTTCACATGTCTTATTAATTCAATTTATAATTGGATGCTTCATATTTTCGTTCAATAATTTGATATGATTCATAATATTTTTAATATTTAAAAAACTATTTAAAAGTTAATTTTAAAAGATCTTTGAGAAAATAAGTTTATATTTTTAATAAAGTAAAAATTGAATAATTTTCAAATTTTAAAATAAAATCTGTGAAATTAAAAAAAAATAAACTTCTAAGTTTAAAATAAAAAATATATATTTTTTAATCTCTATTCATAAAATAATAATCAAAAGATACTTTTACAATTTTCAAAATTGAAAAAAGTTTTTTAATTTTTTTCAAATTCTTTTTATTTTTTTCATTTGTACGAAAGAGTAATAGAATAAAAAATGCATTCTATCACTAGATCAATTTTTATACAGTGATACACAGATAGTATGTTAGAAAAACACGTTTTTTTTTTTATATAATCAATAATTTAAAATATAATCGAAAAAATGAATTAATAAATATAATTGAAAAAATGAATACTTAATTATTTTAATATTGAAAAGTTCAGATGCACAATTTTTTATTATCTGATCGAACTGAAATTTGGCATAAATTATTTTTTTATTAATTGGAATTATTCTGGAAATGCTGCGAAAAAAATTTAAAAATCGAAAATAAGATATTATATTGATGTATACACAATATCCCAGATAATTAATGATATAATTGAAAATAAAACTTTTCTGTTTATAAATTAGTTAAAAAATTGAATTTGAAAATTTAACAATTATAATATTTTGATGGCATAATACATTTAATTTTGATTTTCTCAAAAATAAAAACTTAAGCGATAAAATTGTTTATAGAACTAATAGATAAGAGATTGCATTAAGGAATTGCATAAGGGATTATGCTGATTATACATTACTAAAAGCATGTATATATGTATACTAAAATTCAATGTATTGTACCAAAAATTTTTTATATCTCAAAAATTAATAAAAATTTGAAATTAAAATTTTATATTCAGAATTTTTTCTTCCTTTCTTCAAAATTTCAATTTAACCATGTGTTGGAATACATATCGTATACTATTTTATTTAAAAAATTTTATATTTTATATTTATTTTATATTTTTGATTTATTTTTTTATAGAATCATTCTTACCTGATTATATCATTAATTATGGGATATCCTATACATTATAATATATTGTATATTATATAGTATAATATACTGTACTGTATATATAATATATAAATTATATTATTAGCTTGCTCTCAAATGTAATATTCGATTAAATTTTATTACATTCGAGAGCTAGCAATAAAATTCTCGCAAGCAAAGTTTTTATTCTAGATAACGAACTATAAAATAAAAAAATAGATAAGGTTCTTTTAATTCGAATGGAAAAAAGAATGATGAATCATGAACATTTAACCGAGTTTATTCTGTTAGTGAAATTTAACTAAGCTATA